ACACATGGCCAGTATATTGTGTATTTTTGTCACAGGCAGCGAATCTCTTGCCTGTGCTTTTCAACTATAATTTAACAATTGTAATTAACATTTTGTCAAGAGCGATGATCAGGGTTCTACCTGTCTGCTTTTGTTTCGTTTCGTTTCACCTGCTGCTGCGTGTTTTGATTTGATCATCACGACCGGTCTGGGATAGGGCCCTCCAGCCAAAGGACATAGCATCAGCAGAAAGCCATGAATGTAAGGTATCTCCACTCTCACCCTCTCCCCTCCCTCCCCCCCCGGGGTCCTCCCCCCCTCCCCCCTCAATCTCGCATTGGTTGGCCCCTTGCCTGAGGCCCCCAACCAGCACGCATCGGGGTTAGGCACACACACGCTCCACGCACGACACACACCTCACACCTTCTCGCACACACGCATTGGTGTAGCAAGATGCCATGGCAATAATGCATGGGAATGTCAGGTATATGAGGCAGCCTTGGAGGGGTTTTTTGCTGCTGGGATTTCCCACATCTTAACGCAACACAATCGCGCCTTGGTAGAACGACAACGACTGCGGCGGTTTCCATATAGTAGTGACGACATCCCGAGAATCCTTCTGCTTTTACTCTCTGCGGCAATTTCCAACTGGCAACGGACTCTACTCCACTTACTTGGCCTACCGGTAGCAGCAACATCATCACCACCATCACCATCAACTTCTTCATTCATCAACATCATCATCATCTACAACCATCGAGAGCCTCCTTGAGGACGACTGAGAAAGTGGGAAGGTGTAAAGTCTTTCCTTTGGATTCTGCCTGTGTGTACGTGCCTCTCTCTCTCTGTTTGTGTGTGTCTCTGTCTGTGTGTGTCTCTGTCTGTGTGTGTCTCTGTCTGTGTGTGTCTCTGTCTGTGTGTGTGTGCTGGGACAGACAGGGCCAACGCAGTGGGTTACTACCTGGTTCGACCAGGTCTTTCTTCTGTGGTACTAACATCTCTACACAGCGACATTTACTTCCAACTTCTACAGTGTTCCTAGAGAATAATCTCTATCCATCTTCATAATCTACGACAAATACATCTACCTTCTACACCGTAGTTTACTTCTTCAATACCAGTGTTATGTCTGACCGTGGACGCGGACGTGGGCGTGGGGGCCCAAGAGGAGGAGGCGGCGGTGGGGGAGGCTACGGAGGGGGGGGTTACGGAGGACGAGGTGGAGGTGGGGGTGGTGAGTACCGTGGAGGGGGAGGTGACTATCGTGGAGGGGGGGTGGAGGGGGTGGTTATGGCGGTGGTGGAGGCGGTGGTTATGGGGGTCGTGGCGGTGGTGGAAGTAGCAGCTATGGGGGAGGTGGCCGCGGAGGTGGTGGAGGACGCGGTGGTCGTGGTGGTGGTGGTGGCCGTCCCCAAGTCGACACCGGCATCTTTTCACCCCCTGCATCCACTCCACCAAAAGTCGACCAGCAACTCGTCGCAAAAGCTGATGCTCTCGTCGGAAAGCTCGTCCGCGGTGAAGGTGACTTCCCCCTGCGTCCCAACTACGGAAAAGCAGGCATCCAAACCGTCGTCCGTGCCAACTTCTTTAAGGTCGATCTTCCGAAAAATACCTTCTACCAGTATGATGTTGATTTCACCCCCAGTGAGAAGAAGGGGGATAAACGTTCCCGCCTCTTTGAACTCGTGCAGATCCATGCAGACTTCCGTGCGTTGGTCCCGGATCCGAATACCATCGCACACGACTCGTCAAAGACAATCATCTCCTCGAAGAAACTCGCCATCGAGGAAAGGGAAAAGTTGGAGTTCACCGTGCGCTTTTTCTATGCTGATGAAGGTCCTAGTGATAGAGACAAGGAGTACGCGGTTCATATTACACCAATCCGAGAGCTCAGGAGCGAGGAGCTACAGAAATACGTTAACGGGCAGAATATGGATTATGATTCTTCAATCATCATCCGCGCATTAAACATCATCCTTGCCAAATTTCCCTCCTCAACTCCATCTACTAATCCGAATCAAAAGATCGTCAATTTCGGTCAGAATCGTTTTTTTATCGTTGAGAGGGAGGCATCAATGGAGCTAGGTCAGGGCTTGGTGGCGTATAGGGGTTACTACTCATCCGTGCGTCCGACCCTTGGCAAGGTACTCTGCAATATCAATGTGTGCATGGCGGCGTTCTTTAAGCCGATAAATCTGGGGGTTATGCTTGACCAACTGTGGGGTGGACGTGGTGGTGGTGTCCAGGGTGGTATCCAGAGGAAAAGCTTCAATGGGTTGAAGGTGGCTACTGAGTACATGGGCAAGCGCAAGAAGATTGTGATTTTTGGGATTGGTGATCTTAGTGCCAAAAATCAGACCTTCTACTGGGATACGGAGGGCAAAAATGTCTCTGTCGAGTATTTCTTTAAAAAGCGTAAGTGTTACAACACACCTGGAGTTGAATTATTTTTTGTTTTTATGCTAACCACAATATTGTTATAGAATACAATTACGTCCTACGGAACCCAAATTGGCTATGTGTATGGAAACCAATGCGCGGTGGAGGTAGAGCTTACATCCCCAGCGAATGCTGTCATATAATTGCAGGACAAGTCTTCAAGTCCTTCCTGACTGGCGAGCAAACATCCAACATGCTTTCAGTCGCCTGTCGTTCACCAAAGATGAACGCAGAATTCATTACCGACGAGGGCCTCAACATCCTCGGTCATGCCTCGAACCTCACGAACGCTACTCTTCGCAATTTCGGCATTACCGTCTCTGACACTATGGAGGCGATATATGCTCGCGTGCTCCCGGCTCCTCAGGTTAGGTACAAAACCAGCACCGCACAGATCCAAAACGCCGGCTGGAACCTCCGGAATGTGCAGTTCCCACAAGGCGGGACCCTCAAAAACTGGGCAGTAATGGCGATCATGGACGGCGGTCGCTCCGATTTTTCTAGTTTGGATCACCTCAAGTCGGTCGTACGCCTTTTCGTGGGCATGTGCAAGACTTCTGGGATGGCAATCGTCGACCAAGAACCACGGGCCTGGGCGAACGCTAAATTGCCCCAAAAGGACTTTCAAAACGACCCAATGCGCGAGGCTGCTCGACACCTAATCGACAGGCAGCTCAGCGATATGTGCGATAAGAGTAAACCGTCCAGAGCAGGCCAAACCCCCATCCCGAATTTCCTCCTGGTGCTCCTCTCCTCTGACGACAAGAACGTGTATAACCATATCAAGTCCCTTGTCGACTGCAAATTCGGCATTCCTACCGTCTGCTGCCAGAGTGAGAAAATCCAGAAGGAGAAAGGGCAGCCCCAGTATCTCGGAAACATTGCCCTCAAGGCGAATTTGAAGACTGGCGGGAGGAATCATGAACTTGGTGGAGGTGATGCGTTGGGGATTTTGGGCACGGATAGTATGGTTCTAGGAGCAGATGTCACACATCCGACAGCGAAGGTATCGGTCAAGTATACCCCGAGTATTGCGGCGGTGGTGGCAAGCTTCGAGAATACCTATTCTCTCTATCCTGGTGGTTTAAGTTTGCAGAAGAGCCGACAAGAAGTACCCTTCCCCCCCCCCCCTTTCTTTTCCTTTCCCCTTATATTAATCTTGCTAACACATCCGCGCCATACACAGATGATTCAACACCTCGAAGACCTTGTCACCGTCCGCCTCAATTACTACAAAGCAAACAACCCCAAGAAGGTATTTCCTCAAAAAATCTTCTATTTCCGCGACGGCGTCTCCGACGGCCAATTCGATCAAGTCAACTCCGATGAACTCCCGCAAATCAAAGCCGCCTGCCAAAGAGTCTCCGGCGGTAATCCATCCTACAACCCAAAGATCGTCATCGTCGTTTGCGGGAAACGCCACCACACTCGCTTCTACCCCACGGACCAAAACCTCACTGATGGCAAAGGCAACTGCGCACCTGGGACAGTCGTCGATCGCGGCGTTACTAGCGCCTTTGAGCATGACTTTTACCTCCAAGCGCACGTGGGACTCCAGGGAACCGCTCGCAGCGCACACTACATCGTCACCCACGACGAGGTCGGCCTTGACGCTGACTCCCTCCAGAAACTCGTCCATAACCTCTCGTACCTCTTTGCCCGCGCGACAAAAGCCGTAAGTTACGTGCCTCCGGCATACTACGCTGACATCCTCTGCGAGCGGGGAAGGTGTTATCTCCAAAGCCTGCTTGCCGGTCGGAGTACTTATCAAGACCAGCTTTCCGATACGTCCAAGGGGTCTGGGGGAAAGAAAGGTCCAGGTGGAAAGAAGGGTGGGAATCAGGCTGAGAAGGAGGCGGCCAGGAAGGAACAGGAAGAGCACGATGCGAAGATGATCATGGAGGAGGCTCAAAAGATGTGGGGTGGGGGGCCAAAGGAGAGCGTCAGTAGATTGATGTTTTACTTGTAGATTGACTGCTGCTTGGACTTTACCGACTCGATGGTTCGAATTTCGATGACTTCCGCGATGACTTGGACTCTTGAACATTTACGCTGGGAAAAGCATTTTTCTTGACTGAGTGTGATGCGGTGATGGTGATGGGTGATGGCCGTAAGTGACGGCTTTTTTTACTTTTTTCTTTTTTCTTTAGGGGTGGGGTGGTTTTTTTTAATTTGAAGATCATCGATGGTACATTTAGTTTTATCATCATGAAGTCGGTCCTTTTGTGCAGGTTAAAGGTGTTGGACTCTCTTGTTTTTGTTCTATTTTACTTGGCGGTTGTTTTATCTATCCATGTAGGTGAGGAGGTGACAAGTGGAATGAATAAATACTCGCGGAGAGTCACTCATTACCTTTTTTGGGGCTGCGCTGTGCGTTTGGTTCTTTGTGATCATATCAAGTGAGGATCGGGTGCCATGGGTGCGTGGTCGTGAATGTAGGAAAAAAATCTAGCAGTGACTGTTATCAGGGTAACTCATTTACCTTTGCCAAGAGAGCTTTATTTTAGCGCTGGCAAAGAAACATCACGAGAGGTATTTAATAATAATAAGTATAAAAATAAAAATAAAAAAAAAAAGGTAAGTCCCTTCGACCGGAGTCGAACCGGTGACCAATCGGTAGGCAAAGCAGAAGTCCACATTACAGCCGAGTGTGATACCAACTACACCACAAAGGGAAGGTTAATAGTAGAAAACCTGTTGTTTTCTTTGTTTGGGGAGTTTGTTTGGTGGCTGGAGATTTTGTTCTAGAAAATGAATTTATTGTTTTTATTAGAAAGTGTATGAAAGTATACAAGTCCTATATAACTTTCTCTACGCCAGTAGGCTTACCTTGAACTTTAATGTTTTCATCTAGACTTAAGTACTTATTAGATGAAGTCCTACTACATAATGTATAATAAGTATATTATAAATATATTCTTACATAGTTATTCATTTCTTATCGCTATGAGAAATATTCACATCGTAGTCATAAGAACTCTATTCTTTTATCATTAGTTTTAGAGAGAAACTACTAGTAACCAACTTAGTTATTTACTTGAAGCAAACTGGCTGTGAGAACTGCCAGCCCTAGCCTAATATTGCTTAGTGATACTCAGATTTGTATAGATATTTAGTGGGGAAATATCGAAACCTACGGAGAGAGATCTTGTAACATGTAACAATCATTACCGGTACATGTGATATGACCTAGATTAAGTAACTTAGGTTTAGAGCTTAGTCTTTTTTTGGATACCAATTCTAAGACTGTAAGTATATATGAAGTGGTAACTATAGGTATTATCCACTCTACTCTACTAATTTCAAGGAATGTTTTGTACATGACGCACTTGAATCAATAACAATATACATAACTAGACCAATATCAAATATATATAACTAGGCTATCATTGATTCCAGCGTAGGCAGTATCGGCCAGAAGCTGGTCCGGGAGCTGTGGGATATGTAACAGTTGCATATAGCCCAGGTCGATTGGGACCTCCTCCAGGTCATCCTCCAGGTCAATTGGGTTATTATCTAATAGTCTAATTTGTGTTCGCTTAGCTAGAGCTGAGAGGATGCCACAGTAGTCATGATCTGCTTGGTATGACATTAAATCAAGTCATTTTTATAGCATCGGAAGCGATGGTTGGCACAGGACTCTTTTGTAAGTACATGAGACTGGAATTCAAGTTATTATAGATATCTACTGAATAACATTGGCTAAGATTGTAATTTGTCGAGTAGCTAGAATATCTGCAATTTCATCTTCCAAGCACATAAGATTAGTTGCTGGCTGAAGGTCTTTGGTTGGATTAAGGTTAACAAGTACACCATACTTGGTCAACAATGGATGGCTGGGGTTTTGCAGTAACTTCTGCATATAACGGATCACATCAAAGAATTCCCAGTTATGAAGAACTCAAAGCTTTCTTCCAGTATCATCTCTACAACAAAGTTTTGCATCTTCAACTTTACAAAACTCGAAAGTGAGCTTTCTCTTCAGTTCTACTCACTTTTGAACCATTGCCTGAAGCTTGAGCCTGTAAATGCCATCCCTTATAATGATCATAGCGAGTATCATCAAATCGTAAGCGATGTGGAGTATCACGTAGGTACTGGTGAAAGGCTTCTTGTGTTCCACTGGTAAAAGGTTCCATAGGTTGGAGATCTGGAACTCTAGCTGGCACTCGGGAGCAGCCTACAGCTGGGCCTGGGCGCATTGCCTAATGCTTGAGTGGTGGCTATAAACGAAAATGAATGGTAGATAAATCTCACAATAACAGATCTCAGCTAGGCTTTTAAACTAGGAATACGGTGCTCAGCGTCGACAAACTGCCTACCCTAAATCAATATCTTATGTTGGACCTACACATAATCTCACATCAGAGTTATTTACCAAATCCAGTAATTAAATTAATTGCCCTGAGCGGCCCAGAACAAATATGGCTCTTGTCAGAAGAGAAAAAACCTTCTACAAAAAATCATAGGAGCGCAACAAACAATTCCCAATGACCTAATGCTCAGACTTTCTGAACCAAATTCTAGGATATGCATTTTAACAGATACCGTACAACTTCGTGAATAAGACCTGCATATCTTTCCAAGGAACCTTCACTCGCAAGGCTTAATTTATATGCACCATAGACCTACTTTTGGATTGTACGTACGAACGAAGGCTTTTTAGATAGAGGTTGAGAAAGGCTAAAGTAGAACATCAATGCAGGTTGGTGAAATATTAAAGCATGAGCTTGATTAGCTGGAGCTATTCCAGGCATAGAAATATCGTAGATATAGGGAAATTGTCGAATCAGATAATCTCGAACAAGATAGTATGTGTTCTGGGCCGCTCGCGGGCATCGGCCGCGGGCAATTTAAATAATTACTCAATTTGGTGTATTGATAAAGTACTGATTTACTAGAAAAAAAAAGAATTGATAATTTCCCAGCGACTGCAAAAGATTCATTGATTTCCCAGTCGATTAGACTCCCCTCTAATATTCCAATTTGGTTCAGCTAGAGCAATATAGTCATGATCTGTTGATACTTTCGTATGTTAATAGATTATGCATTTCAGATTATTCTTAAAGTATCAGTGACAACAATTAGAGTAGAAGTTTTCGCAACACCGGTACTTGTTATAGATGCCTAGTGAACTGTGGTTTACCGAGCAGTTAGAGTATCTAAAATATCAAACTCTAAGCCCGTAAGGTCAGTAGTTGGGTAAAGGATATTGGGTTTAGCAATATCAATTGATCTCCCACAACGCTGTAAAATACCATCTACCTGTTGTATAATTCTAGGTAGAACCTGCTTCGTTTTGGGTTAAAATCAAGAACTTGGAGTAGCTTAGCAATCTGCATATAAAACAGTACCTGTTATTAAGAAAGTACCGCTTTGCACCTGACCTGGATTTTATAAGTGAGGAATAGCCTGGATTTTTCTAGTATAAAATCAATCTTGCAACAAGATGTAGACAAAAGATATTATAATTATGATTGCTCCAAATTTCACTGAATTCCACATAACGTATCGATATTCAGCATAAGATGGTCGATATAGCCTGAGCAATAAGGCCCCGTCAATAAGAACCCCCGCGGATAAGAAACTAATTTCCAAATACCCATTGGATAGGGTTGCGGATTTTTAGGGCAGCAGTAAACTCAGTATCCTCTTCCCTATTCCTTCATCATCAGAGATGCAGTGATGAGTTGTTAACGTCGCCAGCATGTACTTCACCATCTGAAGGGCTTGAGGTAATTTTTCCGAAATTCTCCCTTGTTCAATGTCTGCCGTCTCCCACTAATCAACAGGAAGGGTATATGATGTGGATAGGGCAGTCAAAATAACTTCTTAGGGTGTTTTTTGAGTGTCGCAGAATGTTTTGTTCGATTGAGATTTACCAAATTGAGGAATTATATTAATTGCCCGCGGCCGGCACAGTGGGTATGCCGCCCGCGAGCGGCCCAGAACATATACGCCGAGGTTGACCATCCGCTAAGCTATGATGTAAGATAGTATAATATCTGGTGGGTGGCATTGCAGGAGTCCTAAGAACCATCTTATTTGCCAATACCTACGAAAGGGAAAAACCGAGCGCGAGAGGGCCAATTCATTATTAAGACCACCACCACCACTCCGCGACAAATAAGACTCTAACAATCCGAGAGCCTGTGCGGCCTCATTCGTGGGTTTCTATAGTATATAGTGTATCTATGTTACAAATCCAATGTGGCAATGAGGAGCCCCGTTAACATTTACTTTGTACAATAGCGTTGACATTCTTGACATTCGAGGCTACTTATATACAGTATGTGTATGTAACACAATAGGACTGTGTGGCAATTAACGTTACTACATACACCCCTTCTTATTGACGTCTAGGTATATCAAACGAGGAGAAAACAAATCGCCAATCATGATGGTTGAATGTCCGGCATGAGCTACGGCCTGATGGACAAATATCAATGTAGTGTAAAACTTATAGTTTCTCTCTACGACACGCCACGTAAGAATTTCTCATATGTGGCCATGCAGGGGGCTGCGGGTACTGTTGAAATGCTGCAAGATTTCCTACCCCGTAGATCTACCCAAGAGTATGGGTGTAGAGGAAAAAGTAAGTAATTGAGCAGGTGTAAACTTATCAATATATTGAAAATAGGTCTGCCAATCAGCTTCGGATGCTACTGGTAAGGCAAAGAGACTGGAGCCTTTCGAGCCGGGCTCGAGCCCTAATATCTCTTGTCCACCCAAAAAGCCCTAAAGGGCAAGAGGGGCTTACCCCATTATATCTAGCCGTCGATTGGAATCGCCCTCAATGTATACCTAAAGGCGCTTCTTGAGGCCGGTGCCGACCCAAATTCGGGTATAACTTACTTCGGGTGGAATCCTCTGGTGAGGAATTTCTATGGTTGCTCAGCGAGGCGGGTGGGAATATCAATTACATGGCCAAGGGCGGACTTGGCTTGCTCGTTTTTGCATCTAACGCGGGGTGTTTTCCTCCGCCGAATATCTGCTAGAAAAAGATGCGGAGATTGATTGTTCTGATCCAAGAGCGGTACCATTCCTACAGCAATGATTGGACCGCACAGGGATATCATGAAGTTACTAAAAAACACAAGGGGCAAATCTCAAGGCTAAGGACAGTGGGTTACTTAACCCTAGTGCATTGTTCTTCGCTGTTCCCGCTGCTACACTTGACGCCTTCAGTGAAGATAGAAGGATATATGGGATGATGTAAATATTAGGGATGCGAGGGCCCGAAATCCATTGTTTTATGTGGCAGCGGCAGGGGGGAGGATGCTGTGAAGTTACCTCTCAAGCATGGAGCGGATAAGACAGTACAGGACAATACTGGTAGGGGTGTTACAGGTTGCAATTACTCCATACTGCCGAAAATAATTTGAGGGCGTTATTAAGCACTGATGAGGAGTGCCTAGGGTATAACATTAGGTCAACTACGTTTGTGACGAAGGAATGCAGTGAATGTAGGACGATGTTTACGGTGGGCTATATCTGGCATACGTTTCCCACCAATATCCTCACTTTTTGCTAATTACATGGCTTGCTTTGGTTACCAGATTGTTGCGAATGTCCCGAGTACTCTTACAAATCTTTGAATCCAATGTTTTGTCAATAACGACAAGAAATGTCAAGGGCGAGAAGACCACCAGAAAAATGAAAGAGGAGGAGATTC